GATAATACTGAAAGAAGAACACACACTCGAATGGAAAAAAAATGGGATGAATTTTAAAAAGACCAAATTCAGTAATTTTTGTGTTATACATATATATCATGGTGAAACATTATTTATCTCTAAAATGGAAGACTGTTACCTGAATTTTAGGCAGGTATGAGGAAATTTACTAACATCATAATAGTGGGGGGGAGTCAAAGATATTAAAGCTACTTGACATAAGTAGTAAATAAAGAGCTCTTGTTCATTGATTTATTAGGAGGTCAATCTACTATTTTGTTTAATTGCTTTAAAACCCATAACACCTCATGGTCAATCTGCAGACGAATGTTTCTGCTGTTTAAATGCCACAGTACTTGGAAAATCAACATTCCACTCATACCACCATAAAACCGATTACCTTCAAACAAAAAAGAATCAACTTCCTACAGAAAAATTTCGATAAATCAGGGTCGATTTAAATATTGACGGTAAAAATGTCAGAAGTGCAATCAGGGCCGTAAAAAAGATAGGACCTATATACCGTAAAGACAATTTCAAAATGATAATACTATGATATAACAATTCTTGAAAAATGGTGTGATAAATTTATAAAGAGTGCAATTTATTGTTGAATATGTTTGCATTTCATTTCCTGCAATATTCTCCACTTTGAAATGTATTACCATAGCACGACACGAATGACCGTTTCGTTTAGATTTTCGGTCTTTCACAATGTTAAAGTCATCAAGCTATTTATAGCTTTCGAAATCATGCACAACACTAAAATACATACATAACACACTGTGTACTATAAACTAACAAGTTTTTTCCTGTAGAAGATTCAAATTTAAGAAAGGAATTTCCGAATTTAAGTTTATTTTTTGTCTTGTCTTTTATACTGCTTTCCCAGCGACTGAGGCGTGGAAATTCTTCCCGTACTCATTCATTAATATGACATGCTGCGAATTATCAAATGGGAAACCAATACATGACTTTACATAATAGAGATAGGAAGGAGTTCTTGATTCCGAATTTATTTTTGCTGTAAATCGAAGGGATTAATTAATAAAAATCGGGTCCAAATAGCCAACAAAAATAACTCAACGCATGTGGCGCGGTGCAATTAATCATGAGTGTCTATCGTAGAGTAAATAATGAGTGTCTGTCACATATATGTTTTAAATTAACTATCAAAAAAGTTAGTAAACAAAACAATTGATGAATACAGGTTTTAGAAGTTTACTTCTTGTGATAATTTGTACTGTTGCTGTTGCTTTTAGTAGAGTCTTTTCTCTGCTTTACCTTTTTGTGATAACTAATAATGTCGCAAAAATATTCAACATTAGGAAAATAACCATATTATGTTTAGCTTAACGCTTCAGTACAATATAATTTCAAACGTCGTTTATTTTACAATTTTAACGTTATGAGGTTAGCAATAGCAGATGTTAAGTCCGTATGAAAGCTGTGAAACAGTTGTCCCGTACTCTCATTTTAGTCTTGTTTTATTTGTCTGATCCTTCTACGCCATTGATTCAATCACATTTCGTGTTGAAGATTGAATTTTGCCAAAGCTGATGCAAAGTATAGACGTATCGAGGTATTTTTTTCCTGGTTAAAATATTTTAGGCGGATTTTTTTTCCGGCTAAGAATTTTCCTAAGGCGGAATTTTCTCCTGCTAGTGCTTTCCTTAAGCTGATTTTTTTCCTGGTTAAATTTTCTTAGGCGGATTTTTTTCCCTCTACCCTAACTGTTTTCCTCCTAAAAAAATTGCATATTTCGCAGCGTATTCCTGCTTATAGGAGGAATCTGTGATATGTAAACCTGAAATGCCTTAGACGGATTACGCCTAGTAGCTAGGCAGAATTTCTGCTTTTTTCAGGGCGGAAGTTTTCGTACGGGAACAGCATACCTAGCTGAGAAAAATCTCCAAAGAATTATATGATTATATATGGACAGGTTATATACTTCTAAGTTAGCGAAGGGCGACTTTGGCTCATCTTGGGTATCTTTAAGGGGTATTATGTTAAGTAATGATTACGGATCGATAAACCTTAAAAGTGATTTTTGATAATATACAGAATAAAAATCAAGGGAGATATATATGTATATCAAAGTGGGTTATATGATGGACCTCATATAAGATTAAGATATATTTGAGCCGCGTCACGACAAAAACCAACATAATGGGTTTGCGACCAGCATGGATCTAGACCAGCCTGCGCATCCACACAGTCTGATCAGGATCCATGCTGTTCGCTATCAGTTTCTCTACTTGTTATACGATTTGTAAGTGAACAGCATGGATCCTGATCAGACTGCGCAGATTTGCAACCACTATGTTGGTTTTGTCGTGACGCGGCTAATTTAACTTTTAACATGTTAACACCGAACTGGATGGGGAAAGAAGGATTGACAATTTTAAGAGTGCTAAAATGATTATTGTAACTGTTTTTATTGTACATAATAGGAATATTGCTATATCATTGTATTCTACTGTTTGATCGGACTGGTTGAAATTCATAGAAATCCAGCTGGGGTGAATTTAATATAAAATAAAAATAATATTTGTTAACGGATGTATAAATTAAGCTGGATGATATTAATATTTTGACCGAACGGCATACCAAAAAGGCAGGCAGTATTAATAGAACAATAAAAATGACAATCGCAATATTGTGGACAGGGTCTTTCTTTCTATTTGAAAGACCCTGCTGTGGATTATTACATAATTTAATAGAAACAGAATAACAAAGGGAATACCTAATCAAGGTTTCATTATTTAACAAAACATATATTTATTAAAGACCTGTCAGACAGATCTTGAAACAAAATAACGGTCCTTAAAGCCCAGGTCACATACAAAAATAGTAGTCTATGCCTGATTATGAGCTGACAGATAGGGGAATTTTGTAAAGGGTGGCTAAGCCTGTCTGTTGTGATAACATGTCTAAACAGTACAACATGGTACATTTTAGCCACCATAAAATTTTCTTATCTAAAAAAATCTAGCTATTTTTATTCGTACAAAAATATAGAAAAAGTACAATGTGTAATTAGTAAAGTGCATGTTCACTATACATGTTTAAATAATGAAACTATTAATAAATGTCGGTACAGCCGCGGTACGGTATTCAGAGGGTCACGGGTTCGAGTCCATGTCAGGATGCATTTTTTACTCACCCTGTGACTGACATACATTTGTATAGCCCAGCTAGAAATTAATTCACAATGCTAAGTAATCCTGGGAAATTCGAAGAAATATTTGCATACACAATAGGTTTATAACATCAGTATTTAAACACATAAAATGTGTAAGCGGCCGAATAGCTCAGAGGAACTCAAGAGCCGCGGACTGGTATTCCGAGTGTCAGGGGTTCGAGTCTCTGCCAGACTGTTTCATATCAATATAAATCTGTTAAGAAAAATGGGAAGGAACTGTCTAAAATAATTATCACCCTAAATAGGATTCGGACAGTCTTTGGTGAAACGTCAGTAGATGAATTTGTAAAGGGGTGGGGGGGGGGCGGTGCTAGTCTGATTATCATCACATATGATGTCTGACGAACGTCATATCGGTGCTAGTCTGATTATCATCACATATGATGTCTGACGAACGTCATATCGGATATATTGATACGCATATAAAAACTTGTTTGCTGAATTTCAAAAATGTTGCAATTAAATATAGTAATTGAATCTTATGCGTATGTAAAATAGGATTAAAACTAATCTTCGGCGTAAAGCATGCAGAAATCTGACCAGGTCACAAACTTTAAAACTTAAATGTAAATATCAAAATAATATTTCATTATATAATATTTTATTCTTTGACAGGGACACTGAGCATCTTTTACATGTTTAAGAAACAAGAATTTTACATAATATATCTATCTAACATATTCTTTTACTTCTCAATAGTAACAGACGCAAAACACGGTACTTAAACGCTTAGACGAACGCAGACGCACGCAAAACGTTTCTGGGAATAACAAACGCACGCTTTCAAACGCACGATAAACGAAAAACGATATACGAAAAACGGTACACGTTAAACGCTTGTAAACGATGCACGCTTGAGAAAGCGTTTCAACAAACGCACGTTGCACGATATACGCACGCACGTTACACGAAAAACGGACGCACGAAAAACACTATTTTTGACAACCGAAACGTTCACCCTACTGTACTTCAATGCAGTTGAAGATATACAGTAAGGCATAGTTGCCCATTGCTTCTTAGGGACCTTCACTTTTCCAGATTTTAAATCTTATCAAATGCAGATGTTAAGTCCGTATGAAAACTGTGAAACAGTTGTCCCGTACTCTCATTTTAGTCTTGTTTTATTTGTCTGATCCTTCTACGCTATTGATTCAATCACATTTCGTGTTTAAGATTGAATTTTGCCAAAGCTGATGCAAAGTGGGTCTGAGTGATATAACATGTTTTTCATTATCCTTCATTAACAGACTCAATATGCACTTTACATTGTAATTTTGTCGTTTTAATTGCTTCCTAGGAATACCCCCCCCCCCTTCTAGATTATAGTACAGATGTAAAGTGCGTTGTGGAACTTGTTGTTCAGTACCTCAATTTTGCGTTGATATATATTTCTGATACTTCAATTAATTGATAAAAAACAATAAGGGGTCCGCTATTGCTAGCGGTTGTTAGGGGTGTTTAAGTTTTCCATCATCCCGAGGAACAGATTCACTTAAACAGAATATGCAGCTTTCATGTATTGTCGTTATTTTTATTGCTTCCGATGAATCTCCCCTTTCCAAACCTTTGTCGTAAAGTAGTTATTTAATTGCAACTGAATATATTAGTAAAAAAGCATTGTAAATTTTTATGAACATTTGGACATTCCTTTCACTTGATTTGTAATGTAATAAAGGTGTTTTATGCATAGACATAAACATACATTTTAGTATTCTCTAAGAAGGGTATTTACAGTTAATGTCCTATGTAACAACGTGCTTAACATGTACAATAAAGAAACAAGAAAGAAACATACCTTTCACATTGATAACTACTTGATTACTTAACGAAAATCCCTCCTTACATGCCCAAATATTTCCATGTTGTGATCTATCAACTTTAATCAACGTTAAAGTAAAGCTTCCATTTCTATGACAATTCCATAAATATAAAGAACTGTTATTGACAAAGCCATGTGCCTGACATGTCCCGTCGTTTGATATGTATATATGCGCCCAGATAACGGCATCATCATTTATGCTCCATGCCGATACGTGACCAGTTAATGAGCATGTCAACGTGACACTAGAATTTTCAACTACATCAATACTCGTCGGTACAAGTGTAACTTCTTGTAGGAATACACCTGTAAAATAAGACTAGAAATGTGTCATCATGCCACGGATGCCCCCGCATGCAGCCAAAATTTCAGATGGTGCATTAATTATTTTTTTCATTTTAAGTTCAAAGCCCTTAAAACTTTTCAATGTTAACACAAACCATTTCCATACAATGTTCAAGGCACTGAAATTATTTAGTCTTAACCTTTTAGAAATAGCATATTGCATATTTGTAGCCAAAATAATGGCTAAAAGAATGAGTGCTGAAACTGAAAGTTCAGAATTTTTCCAACATTCAGGAAAGATAAGTTTGTCTAAAATCATTGAACCATGACCAAATTCAAACTTAAACTGCTTATTCCTAAGATGTATCTATATTATTTTCAAAGTGAAAGGGACATAACTCTGCCAAAAAATCATCAAACCATGACCAAATTCCAACTTGACTTGCCCATTCCTTTGACATATCCATATGTCAAATTAAAGTTGAATATGTAACACTGTTGGGTAGATAATGAACAGAAACTGTAAATTTCATATTATTTTCAAAGTGAAAGGGGCATTACTCTGCCAAAAATCATTGAACCATGACCAAATTCGAACTTGGCCTGGGCATTCCAAAAACATATCCATATGTCAAATTTGAGTTGAATGTGTTGTACCATTGGGAGATAATAAACGATAACTGAAAATTTCATATTTCTTTCAAAGTGAAAGGGGCATAACTCTGCCAAAAATCATTGAACCATGACCAAATTTGAACTTGACCTGCGCATTCCTTTGACGCATCCATATGTCACGTTTGAGTTGAATGTGTTGTACCTTGAGGGAGATAATGAACGGAAACTGAAAATTTCATATTATTTTCAAAGTAAAAGGGGCATAACTCTGCCAAAAATCATCGAACCATGACCAAATTCGAACTTGACCTGTATTTTCTCATGACATATCCATATGTCAAGTTTGAGTTGAATGTGTTGTACCGTTGGGGAGATAATGAACGGAAACTGAAAATTTCATATTATTTTCAAAGTAAAAGGGTCATAACTCTGCCAAAAATCATCTAACCATAACCAAATTCGAACTTGACCTGTATTTTCTCATGACATATCCATATGTCAAGTTTGAGTTGAATGTGTTGTACCGTTGGGGAGATAATGAACGGAAACTAAAATTTCATATTATTTTCAAAGTAAAAGGGGCATAACTCTGCCAAAAATCATCGAACCATGACCAAATTCGAACTTGACCTGTATTTTCTCATGACATATCCATATGTCAAATTTGAGTTGAATGTGTCCAACCGTTCTTAAGATAATGAACGGAAACTGATGATGACGGAATGACAGAAGGACGGAAGGATGGAAGGACGGAAGGACGGAATGACGGAACAGGGTAACACTATATGCCCCGGCCATTACATGGCGGGGGCATAAAAATAAAAGTTCTATATATCTATTTTAAGATACGTATTATTATAACTTTAAATACAGTATAGACAATGAAAAAAATCCTGCGTTATCAAATTCTTATGAATACATTGGAAGGTGTTTTTTATTTGCTTTCAAGTTTTGTTGTTTTTCTGTTGTTGTTTCTTCGTTGTTGTTGTCATTACATTTCTATATTTATAGTATTAAAACCTAAATTAATTTAATAATTTTATATATCTTCTTTCACAAATATTTAATATTTTTATGTTATCCAGTTTTTGCAGGATATTATCTCTTTTAAAGATAATTTTAACCACTGAGCTAACTTGAGCATGTTAATCTTTGTTACTTGTGATAGACTTAATAAAAGTAAAATCAAAAACCTCTTTGGAAGAATATTCTGATGTTGCATAAGGATATTTATGCGTAAGTCGCAGAACCAAATATTTGATAATCCTTAATATTTCACATAAATAATAGTTATTTACATACGTTTTTTAATGTTTTAATTCTATCTCATGCAAAGGCTTATTTTTTGCTTCTCGGCACATTCCATATAAGCCTAAAAGTACAGTTGATCGTACAGGTTACCATATATAAACCTAGGTTATCCAATCTTGCCAAACTCTATGTGAGTTAAGATAACGGCATAGATTAAGAGAAACAAAATCTTAGTTTTTAAGTAAATTAAAGAAATATTACCTGGCAACCCAAATAAACTAAGTGTGGTCAATCGAATAAAATAACACCTGAAACCCATTTCTTGACTTAGTTTTGTCACACTGGAAAACTAAATAAAAACATTTTATACTGATTTTTAAGTCTGACAAGAATGTCAACGTAGTACATCATATGCACAAACTAAAAATTTAAAGGTGCATTTCACAAAATAGAAGCTGCTACACTTCATTAATAAAATTGGTTTCATATTGACTCCCGTTCTAACTTTGCTGTACACACGACCAACATGTGTTTCATAAGTGTAAATACCTGCAACCTGATTATGGCGAAATTGAAAGTACTATTGTTGTTTGGCGTTAAACTCGGCTATTGTGTCATCCGAACATCAACAGAAGATAATTATCGCTTTCAGGACAGTCCAAAATGACAAAATATGTGTCCTCATTATATAACGGATGCTTTTATCCAAACTGCATCTTCTTTTATTAGATGATAACTATTGTGTGACCGACATACCTAGCAAACCGTAAGGCTATAACGGTAAAAGTTTGTTAGCGCACCCGGTACCGCATTTACTTGTAATGATTTTTAACAGTTTAACACTGTGACATACAGGAGCTAATTATAGTCCTCTTTTGCCTGTTAACACTCGAATATGAACTTGAAGTGTTATCGTTGGGTAGTCTTTCTTAAATAAAGATTTCTGAACAATACTTGATTAGATTTACAACAAAACCTTTTTTAAACAAGAGCCCGGTTTGAGCCGGGTGATGCTCCCGGAATAGGTTTTGGACACAGGAAAGTACACCTCATGAAGTTTTAGAGTTATGTTCCTGGAAAAAGTTTAAAGTCCAAAATAAGGCAAGGCAGAGTTACTGTTCTTTGCACTGCACTTCTAATCAATGTGATCTATCAACCTACAAAGTTTCTTGATGATATCTCTTATGATTTCCGAGTTATGTCCCGGACAACTTCAAAAAGTAAAAATAAACAAAGGGCAATAACTCCAGAATTAGGCAATGCAGAGTTATGATTCTTGTGCACTGCACATCTACCCATTGAGATATATCTACCTACAAAGTTTCATGTTAATATCTCTTATAGTTTTACAGCTATGTCCTGGACAAGATTTTTCTAAAAGGGGAGATTATTAAAAAATGAGGCTTAACAGAGTAATGGTTTTATTTGCACTGCACCTCTACTCAATGAGATCTATCTACCTACAATATTTCATCTTGATATATCTTATAGTTTTAGAGTTATGTTCTGGACAAAGTTCAAAGTGTTAAAATTAACAAAGGGCAATAACTCCAAAATTAGGACAAAAAGAGTTATTGTTCTTATGCACTGCACATCTACCCATTGAGATCTATTCACCTACAAAGTTTCATGTTTATATCTCTTTTAGTTTTAGAAATTTTTCGGGGAGCATAAAAAGTTAGTGAAGTAGTAGATAGTACGGTATTTAGGATTTTTTTATATTTATAAAATGCAGCTTTAAATAAAGGTTGAAAGTAAACTATCACACATTATGTTTAAAATCTGAGCTAGTTACCAAGACATTAATCTAGAATAGATTATAAAAAATGTCAAATGTAAATATTTATTTAAAATAAAATATATACAAATGAACATGTATTGTTTAAACTTTACTTACAATTAACACGACCTATCAGATTTCTACAAAGTTCACGTTTGAAAAGCACAAATATTGTTATCACTTCCTGATCAAGTCTAAGTATGTTATTTATTTTACTTCCTGATCAAGTATATATTTTATCTAAAAATTCTATTTACAAATTTAACGTTCAGGTAGCTTAACACATACTATTAACCGCTATCAAATTGTGGTTTAAATGAATAAAATTCTTACTTCTACAAAAAACTAGCTCATTGCTATTAACAATGTGAAATGGTGATTCTTTTCATGAGAATGATAACTTACATGATTGAAGATTTTAATTTAAGGGTATCATTTTTTTAAACTATTTTTTTAGAATTTTCGATTGCATATACAATATTGCCTACAATTTCCGCCTCTAAAAAAAAGAAAGAAAAAAAAAACAGGTGTTTATCTTAAATGTCAAGATTTTGAATATCATTTTTGTTTTCGTCATTACTTGGGCGCCTCAAAAAATATTTTCGGATATTTTGTTGTTATAAATATGTTCCGCATGAAAATGACATAGGTATATTATATGATACTGAACCTTGTGTCATTATAAATGACTTTTTTTCAATTAACCGAGGTCGTAGACAAGGTGATCTAATCCCCCTGATATCTTCCAGATTTAAGCATTGAGAATGAGACAATTTAAAGATGTTTAAGGTAGAGGAATATAAAATTAAGCAACTGATTTTCAGATTTTTTTGCTTATGTTTTTTTACTTTTCCTTGATTGATCCAAAAAGTCTCTTACTACAGTTTTAAAGTTATGCAATATGTTTTCAATGATTTCAGGATTGAAAGTAAATTCTGACAAAACTTAAGTTATTTTGATACTAGGCTTTCTTAAAGACAGTACATGATCCATTTAGACAAAATGAAAACTGACATGGGTTGACGGACAGTTTAAATTATTAAGCTTGATATGTGTTATAAGCTAGCGATGGCTTTATTCAATATTGACAAAGTGTTTAGCACAGGCAAATTGTTTTTTAAACTGACAATGGATAAAACTAAAAATGCCTTTTGAATAGATGTTATTAAAAGTCTCCCCGTACATTGAAATAAATGTAATTTCGATCTTTAAAGATCGTTCAGCGCGACATAATCGTTTCTTCTTTTCAACTTGGGTGGTTGCAGTAATCCTACTTGAATAATTTAAAATCACTCTTAAGGATTCTGTTTAAGCCGGGGGCGTGGATGCTATATTTTCAATTATAATTATCGTCCATGAACAGGCTCAATCAAACCGAGCCTGCAACATGTAATTTTTTCGTGTTGTGCTTTCTTTAGGGATTCTGTTTTTCTCTATTTTATATGACTTTGTAAAGATAGTATAAAACAAGTGTGACACAGGTCATTATTTTATAATCATAACTTGTAAGCAGAAAATCGACACTTTAATATGAAACAGGAATCAGATTTGTCAATGTTTTTTGATGATATAATTGATCAACAAGGTGTTTTTGTAGACTTGGAGCAAGTGACACTTTATCAAATTTTCAACAATTATGAAAAATATGAAAAATGATATTTTGTTTTTAGAATCGGAAAAGATATAAATGTTTGTCAAAGAGAATGAACATGTTACCTACATTTATTGGTTTTAGAAATAGTCTTAAATTGGCATGAAATAACTACAAAATACAAATTCGACCAAACATGTAAATAAAGGATGCCATATTGTATAAAATCTTTACTTAACTTATGAGATACACTAAATAAATTCACCCCGGAACAAACATTGAACTATGTTGGTTATTTTAATTTTTATAATTGTTTTACATAATATATGAAAATTGATTAAATATAATGTATATCATGATTATATTTGTATTTACTTATGACTATGTGATGCTTGTTACACTATGTTTCTATCATGTAAGGTATCAGCGGGATACCCAGATCTCTCATACACATAAAGGGGTAAATAAGCGGGGTTACCTAATCAAGGGATTAAAAAAATAAAAAATAAATAAAAAAAAAAGAATTATGTATATTCAATCACCTAAAAATAGTTAATTAATTTTCATTTTTATGACGGAAATTCCAGAGTGTGTTATTGAATCATTGCAATCAATTCTATAAATTTAAAATATTTATATATTTCACAATAACAAACACAAAATTTGTTATATAATAAGATATTCTCCGCTTCTACAGCAATGATGTATTCACGTTTAAGGAGTATAAAGTTGACCTGATATAATTATTAAAGATCAAGTTTATGCTAATTCAATAATCATATACTCGATTCTTAAAGGAGGTTTACCATAGAAAGTTTCTGTTCTGTTTGTTCTTCTACAGAATAAATTGTTCCGAAACAAACTGTTATGCGGCTTTATCAGGTACTGGTTTTACATTTTTTGCAATATTTTTTTCTGAATGTGTCTTTTGCGTAAAAGGAAATATACAAACATATTTCTTTCAAACTGGTAGTTTGGAAGTATACTTTTTTAAAATTAAATATTTATTGTGTGAAGTTCAGGCAGGAGATATATACGAGCGGTGTTCAAATATGAATGCAACAGGGTCAATTTTCATAACTGCTTAAAACAGTGCTAACATAAATATCTCAATTCTTCAAATACTCACCACCATGTACTATACAAAGTTTTAGTATCTAAACCTAATTTTTAAATGCGTTTTCAAAATCTGTTTGAAGTAAACTGTTTAGACACTGGAAAATAGCTGAACCAAGACTTTTTCGCGTTTGATATTTTTTCCAGCAAGGTGATTTTTGAGACTCGGAAATAGGAAACAGGTACAAGGGCAAGATCTGACGAATAAGGTGGGTGAAGAAGCTTGACAGCTTTTTTTATGAAAGAACATGCCTTTGTAAAACATGGCATTTACAGATTTACTTTTTGGTACGGCAATATGAATAGCAGGACCTTGATTTGTAAAGAAAATAACATACATGACCTTTTTGACGCTCATGGTTCGTTTTGCTATGCAAGGTCTTTGACTTTATTTGGTTGTCCATATTTTGTTATGTATATTTTACTTGGGCGCATAAAAGTGAACCAACGTCTCAACGCCTGTGATGATATTTGAGAACGATCAATTGTTGTATTAAGGGAGGTGTTTCAAAAAGGGTTTGGTGAGTCTTACCCGAACACGTTTTTGCTCTTGTATCCATCTGGCACTTATCCTTCACATTTTAAATCACGTCTGAGAACTGTGAAGCGGCTCATACAGAGATACCACTGCATTTAACTCTATACCTAGTTGCAAATCTTGCATCAGTAGCAATCAAATCCTTTACTTTTTCGACCTTTTTTGGCGAAGTTGCAATTTTCAGACGGAATGCATGAGGTGCATCTTTTACTGAATCCACGCCATTTTTTTAAATGGCTTACATCATCGTGTGACAGATGGAAAAGAAAGTTCAATATGCCCATAAACACGGCATATTTCATTATACCCCCGCACAACAAAGTTGTAAGGGGGGT